AGAGACGGTCGTCTGACTGGATATGTATGTAATTGTACGCCCAGGTATACGTTGTAATCTATCCACTAAGGAGCAGCCGTCTGTCGACAAGACACGCGTGCCGGCCTTCTCAGAGCCGCACTGGGGACACGGGTCACGGCGGTTCGGAGAAGGGGATCGATCGCTCAATACCTGCCCGCTCGGCTGATGACAGCCTTGAGTAGGAGGAAAGCGAGAGACACTAATCAAGAGACGAGGCCCGGGGAGACATGCCACTGGAATTTGGGGTGGTTTGATCTGCGCCCGGACCTAATGAGAACGGTCACGAGCTGGACCAGTCAGGGACCATGGGGATCACCAGACAGATGCGGGCTCGAGCTCCACCACCGACCGGCGTAGGCGGAAGAATTGTCAGCAAACTGTGACCAGCGTCGACATTGGCTCTTTCCCGGCCTCTGGGAAGAAATTCTGCCCCCTGGCAAGGTCGGGTTGCATCGGGACGGCTTCCTCTCCGACCCCCGTGACCTCGATAACGATAGCTGGCGTGGTCTGCCGAGAGATTTGTAGGTTCGCCGTGCTCAGCGACCGATGTACTGACCGGCTTCGGGTTGTGATGTGTTAGTTTTGGTGTCATAGTGTCAGTGTCGGTGTTAAGGTGGCAGTGTCTTAGTATCAATGTCGTCATCAGTCCGTTTATCTGTCGGTGTCGGTCAGTGTTTTAGTGTCCGTGATGTGATGCCAAGTTCGGTGTACATAGTGGTGCTGGTGTCGATGTCATAGTGTCCGCCACTCGGTGTCGTGGTGTCAGTGTCGGTGTCATGGTGTAAGTGTCGGTGTCGATCAGTGTCGATGGTCCGACACTGACCGACACTCACTCACACTCAGCACTCAGCTGACACCCAGCGTGTCGGCCCCGCTGCCGATTATCCGCCCTGCTGCGCCGCGGCCGTATTACCCGGATCACCAGAGATTGCTGCAGTCATCTCGCGTTCATCGAATTTCATGATTTATGCTCAGTGATGTGTAGGCCTAAATGGAATTCCTCACATTTCCGTGGAAGTTGAAATGTTGGAGCCATCATTCACCCTCAGTGAACTATGATTCTTTCACGTGTTTCGACCATTACTTAGCTAAGTGACGTAGGATCCCAGAACCCTTTGAAAAACTTGATAAATTTAATTGTCGGCTCATATATGGAAACGTAAATATCCAGGTTGGTGTTTTCATTCCGATATTCGAACTTCGATATAAATCACGAAAAATAGGTATTTTAATCGTTTTTTAACCTTCGCCCCAGTGGGGGGGGGGGCATATGTTACCACCCTGTCGCGTTTTTTGCGTGTGACTAAAAAACCGCGGCCCGTAGCGCCGCGCCGCTTGCAGTAGCTTTTGGTACATCAATTTTGGACAACGTGTGAAATTTTTGACTCCAGGTCATGTCAGGTCAGGTCACCAGGTCAAGTTAACTGACCAAGCCTAAAAAAGTTTGCAATCATGTCCAGCCTGCAGTGTTTGTCAGAAAGGTTTTAAACTTAATGGATTGCATGCTGTTATGGGCGCCTACAATTTGTATATCTCGGATTTTTTATATCCGTGACCTAAGGTCAGGTCAGTGGCGTGACCTTTCCATTACAAGTCAATGGAGAAAAATGAAAATGCCTGTAGATCCGTGTGTACGCATCGGAACAGTCCAAATATTTCAGAATCACAATGATTTAGTCCACTCGTGATGACCAAGGTGTCATTTTTGCTGATAGCCTCTAGACAGGTCATCCGAGGTCACTTGAGGCTACAAACAGTTTTTTGCCAATAACTCGCGATTGGAAAGAGATAGAACGCTGGGGGTAGTCTCATTGTGTTTGTCTTGTTGAGACGCATCGACTGATATGCAACATGACCTTTTCCGGTCAGGTCATGACCTTGACCAGAGGTCAAATTTTCAAGTTGACCTTTCAAGGTCAAATTATAGTTCATTCGACGCGTCTCGGCGAGGGAAACACGATTCTGGCCATAGAAATGTCGTGGCTTTTTGTAGTCGAAAGTTATTGTCGAAAAACACTTTCCGTAAAAACAGCTATTTTTGGAGTTTTTGCCCTCTGGAGGCTAAACCGTTGACCTGAGGTCAATATTGATGATGACCTTTTCAAAAGAAGAGTTCAAAAGCTATCGTCTGCTCTTCCATGCGTTTTTCTAGCTACCATAGTTCCTGAGATAGCGGCATGTTTTCTGAAAAATATAATGACAATTGGCAAATTTTGACCTTTGATGACCTCTGGTGACCCCAATATTGCTCTAAAGTGAAAAATGACCGAATACTTTCAAACGTACGCATTGAGAGCTATCGACTGCTTTTTACCGCGTCTTTCTAGCCCTCTTAGTTTTTGAGTTAGAGGTGGGTGGTAACATATGCCCCCCCCCCCCCCCCACTAGGGCGAAGTTGGCTGAGACCGCCACTGGGGCGCGGGTTAAATAGTTAATTTAAAGATTTAGGTAGTTCTATTGTTGTGGACCATTGCGGGGATTGTTCTGCAGCACAATGCCTTTTTTTAGTTTTGTGATAGGCATTGGGTGCATTTGTTGAGCCATATAGGGCGCCTTGAGCGTTAGTCCTAACTGTCGACTGTCTATTGTCTAAGTTACCATTACTGGTATATGTGATGTGACAAGAGTGTAGGTAGGTATACATATAAGAGTGTGGGTTATAAATAGCACCTCCTATTCTTATTTGTCTCATGCTTTGTATGTTCTTCCCATGTTCCTATTTAGCGCGATTAACTACGACGATTCAGTACAGCTACGTAGACAATTTACTAACATCACACCTAATTTAGTTATAATTTCTTTTCAAAAGCTTGTTTCGTCAGACGGCGAAGCTGTTGCATCATGAAGCACACTGATTTAGGTACCGTGCAGTCAGCACGACTTTTGCGCATCTACTCTTCAGAGTTTCCTGGTGGAAACAGCATTGAATTAGCTAACAACAGGTGGCGATATAGGAATTGACGTTGCGATCAGGTACGATGAGTAGTCTAGCTAACCTTAAGGATTCTACTAATCCTTCAGATTCTTCAGGTTGTGATAGGTATGCAGGGTGGTAGGTAAGGATTCTACCTGAACTAATCGCGTTTTCTAAAGCAATGTTTCGCTTTGGAAACTGATTACCGCACACGAATTATCAGAAAACAAATTAGTTCACACCATGCTTTATCGCTTTAGGTGCATGAATATTACGATTTATAGGTATCGGCAGTTATAGAAACGACAGCAGATGGGCCAATCACAGTCACAGTTTTGCGTGCGAATCCACTAGCTAAACAAAGTATTTAGAAATGGGTGTTTTTAAATTTCACTACTCGTATTGCACAGCATTTCAAAATAGTTCAGTTCACAGGACAAACAACTTTCCATCGTGTGACGGTCGGCCAATGTTTAATAATTAAACCGGTGACCCATTTGGCGTCCGAATTTAGTGCAGTTTTCTCTGGGGACCAGCTCAATTTGTCGATAAGCCCGATCTAGTCGATCACGGGAGTGGCAATTCACTTACGCGCGCGAACGCGACCTGGCCCCCCGTGAAAACAACCTGGCGATGAATGGCCCTCCGCCCGACGGAGCCGGTCTGATTTAATGGAGCACCACCCGTCGGACGGGCCGGCCCGCTGCTCTGCGCGCCCCACCGTCCCAGCGGTGACCTCTCCGGCTGTTGTCCCCGTCGGCCGTCTCGCGTTACGCGGGTCACGCCACCGGTCGCTCAGGTACCGGTGCGACGCCGGCAATTAGCGCTCGGGCCGACCCAGCTGCCTTCCGTCGGCTCCCGGCGGGTCGCCATCGATCCCCGAGCGCGGCCGCCGCCGCCGCCGCCGCCGCCGCTGCACGTGCGGCGCACGGCGGCAGTCGGCGGCTGTCGGCGGCCGAAGCGGCCCAGCACGCCGCAGGTGCCCTCCTGCGCTCGTCACTGCGTGGTCCAGTGTCTGAAGGTGACTGACGGCCCAGCGACGGCCAGTGCTGATAGGTGTCTAATCGAATAGAGCGAAGTCATCCTCTTCGCTCATAAACCGTGAACTCAGGACACTTGTGGTAGTATTCTACGAAGGCTTATTGTCTAGCCCAGCCATCGTGACACTTGTGGTGATCAGTTGGCCTCAGCACCTGCATCTGTCAATATCATCGCTCCTGACTGCAAGGAAGGGAGGTGAGCTCACCCTCGGCCAGCGCGGACACTGATTTTACGGCGACTCAGCCAGCCCGTCATCTGGTCCCGTTAATCTCCTAAACTGCCGTCGCTCACTCCTCCCTGCGACATTGGCCCCGAGGGGCGGGCACGCGCTCTGTAAGGGCAGAGAGCCGCCAATCGGCCCGTCGATAGGGTGTGGAACGGCCGGCGCGCGTGTCACCTCGCCGTCGGCGGCGACGGAGCGAGCGTTTTTAAACTATTCGCCGGTCGTCATGGGTGGATCGATCCTGCGGCCGTGAGCTCGATTCAGCGACCCCGGCAGCCGGCTGGAACCGACCCCCGACCGTTCGACAGAAGGTTTGTGCATGATCAAACCGCGCGATCGTCGCCGGCTTGGCAATGGAGCGGCGTCGACAACTGTTTGGTATGGGCCGGAAGCCCCGCTCGGCGGCTTAGAGCGCTGATGAAGACAGCCGAAGCCGTCATATGGTCGGGGGCCGCTCGCTCGGGCACGCCGAGCACGATCGGCTAAATCAACTAGAGCTTGGCTCGACCGCGCTCGGCGCGGCACGTCTTTTGAGCCGGATCTTCGCACTATCCGCAGCCGACGGCCCCGAACGGCCCTCCATCGAGCGGACATCGCCGGCGACCGGTCACGGAGCACCGAGTTCAGCCGAGCGAGCCGCAAAACGTGAGCTGTCGCACCTCCGAGAACGGCCTCTGAGCCCCTGAACGCCGGCCTGTGTGACCCGTACTCGAGTCTCTCCAGTGGGAACTGAAACTGCCAGCGGCAGCCGGCCGGGCCCGCGCCGGCCCTGGGACGCACCGCGGCCGCTGCCGGCGGACCATGGCATGGCTGAGGCGGGTGTGACCTCGGGCGCACTCACCCAGCTTCCTGTGCTGCTCGCACGGCCATCGGTGAACGCGTCGCCGGCCACCGAGATCGGTCCGCTGGCCAACGCGTCACTGCTGGGTGCCGACCTGGCCCGCGTCTCGCTGCTCGCTCAGGCGCTCAAGATCGGCGCCATGACGGCCGTCATTCTTCTGTCGGTGCTGGGAAATCTGCTGGTGATCGTCAGTGTCCTGCTACACCGAAGGATACGAGTCGTAGCCAACTACTTTGTGATGTCGCTTGCGTTCGCCGATATGCTGGTGGCGCTGTGTGCCATGACGTTCAACGCCAGCATCCAAATCACCGGCCGATGGATGTTCGGCTACGTCATGTGCGACATGTGGAACTCGTTAGACGTGTTCTTCAGCACGGTCAGCATCCTGCACTTGTGCTGCATCAGCGTGGACCGCTACTTCGCCATCCTGCGGCCGCTCGAGTACCGCACCCACATGAACAAGCGGACGGTGGCGGCCATGTTGGTGGCGTCGTGGACCACGCCAGCAGTGATATCATTCCTGCCGATCTTCCTCGGCTGGTACACGACGTCCGAGCACCTGAGCTACCGCGCGCGCCACCCGGACACTTGTGAGTTCATCGTCAACGAGGTGTACATGCTGGTGTCGTCGAGCGTGTCGTTCTGGATCCCGGGCGTGGTCATGGTGGTGATGTACAGCCGCATCTACCAGGAGGCGCGCAAGCAGCACCGCGCCATCAGCCGCACGCCGAGCACCATCAACTTCCACAGCACCGACTGCGCCGTGCCGCTGGACGACATCACAGAGGAGGAGCTCACCCTGGCGCTCTCCGCGCTCAACAACATCCGCGACGACCCGACGGGCGGCACCGGCGGTACCGGCGGTGGCGGTGGTAATTCGCCCTCCACTAACGGCGCGACGCCGTCGGGCGGGGCGCGCGCGCCCACGCACCCACCGCCGCGCCTCCTGCACAAGAAGGCGTCCAGCGTGTCCTTCTTCAGCGAGTCGGCCACGTCTGACCTGCGCAAGTCGTCCAACACGTCGCGCCTGTGTCGGCTGCGCTACTCCACCAGCCACATGCTGCGCGAGCACAAGGCGGCCAAAACGCTGGGCGTCATCATGGGCTGTTTTGTGCTGTGCTGGCTGCCGTTTTTTACCTGGTACGCGGCGGCGACTCTGTGCGGCTCTGCGTGCTCCGTGCCGCCGGTGCTGGTTGATGTACTGTTTTGGATCGGCTATCTGAACTCCACACTGAACCCGATGATATACGCGTACTTCAACACCGAGTTCAGGGACGCATTTCGCGAGACTCTGACGCTGGTGCTGTGCTGTCGGTCAGTGAGGCCGAGCGGGTCGTACGAGGCGCGGAACGGGTCGCACCCGACGCGTGCCGACCGAGCCAGTGGCAGTGGCGGAGCTGGGGGAGGAGGAAGTTCGGGTGGCGGTGGCGGAACCTCCACGGACCGCCCTCTCGAGCTGGTCGTTGCCTCATGATGGGGCTGCTAGTGGGGCAGACGTCCGCCCGGTTTCATGTCGTTGGGCTCGTTGTCGGAGCCGAATTTTATAAGCATCGCCACAATGAGACCACTGGCTGACTTTGGTCAGAGACAGAGAGTGAGTCTTTCGATGGCAATGTCGAAGAGAGCTTAGTGCCCTGGAGACCTGACAATGAAAAGGACGCTTATCGAACTCCCGGCGCTGTTAGGAACGGGTAGCGAAGGCTGATGGAGCTGTAAACGTGAGACTATTTTTACATTGCTGGCGGTAACGAGCGAGTGAAATCTGTTATCTGTTTCGCGTCGCGCCCGGTCGGCGCGCAGTGCACCCAGCGGAGTCATTGGCGTCGCTGTGCCGTGCTATCTGTCGAACCCACCCACCGGCCCCCGCATGGCGGACCCATCAGATACCTGCAACCGAGCTCTACATATGTATTGATTTTCATACTGTAAGTGAAACGGTATCTAGCAGACCGGCCATTGTCGCGGCCATTACCGGCCATATGCATGAAAATGATGGTCAAAGTACTGCCGTTTGCTATCATATGAGCATCAACACTGGCATTGCCCTTCAGTCCACATCAATTTTGCAGACAAGACCCAACACCCCCTCCTAAACGGCCATAACAGGCTGCCAAGTTGTTTTCGTGTTCTGGTGCACCCGTAGTAGGTCCTCTCATCTACCTCCTGTGTTCCTGAAGTCCTATGTGACTGCTCCCTAAGGGCCTAGTGGCATGTGTGCCACGATCACTGACCAAATGATCTCGCATCCTATACCAAGTCCGTCCGTCCGCGATCAACCTAGAAGGCGCGTGCGCACGAAGAGAGAGAGAGAGAGAGAGAGAGAGAGAGAGAGAGAGAGAGAGAGAGAGAGAGAGAGAGAGAGAGAGAGAGAGAGAGAGAGAGAGAGAGAGAGAGAGAGAGAGAGAGAGAGAGAGGGAGAGAGTCTTGAGTATATGTGCTAGATGAGGGGTTAGTGTCCAAGCGATCACTGACCGTCGATCCCATGCCACCGCACCACCAGCGCTGTTCCATGACATGGTCACGAGTGAGCGAACCTCAAACCAAATCCCTTTATACGAGTGTTGTGGCTGCGGGAGCACTGCGGTCATGCACACGGCGAGATGATATAAGCGATTATGTGTGTACGTAATCCGTACTGGATATATCAGACGATTACGCTTGTTGATACAGATGTTAAATTATGTCATATGTTGTATGTAATGTGACCAAATAAAACTGACGAAGCATCCAAACTTCAATTTGATGATTTGATAAACGAACACATCTACACTTAATTAGTCCAAGGCCATATAATAGGCGAATTGTTACAAGTACCTACTAAAAATTAAGAATATAGAAATGTTCAATGAATGGAACAATTTACATGCCACTACGATATCGGGCAATGTGTAAAGCGCTCTTTCTCTCTCTTGCCCGGAATGCATAACAATCAATCCCGATGGAGAGCAATAAATCGGGCAGCCTTCTGCGACGTCTGGCTATTCGGGCCACCACCTGTCGGGCTGCCGGCAGACAGAGATAAGCCCGCCCGGATATTGCGACTTGTAATGACCTCTCTCGCTGCTCGCCGACCTTCTTTGTGTGGCTGTGCGGTCAGTAGGTCGCCAGGGCCGATTCGATAGAGTCGCGTAGGCCGGGTGTGTACCGGCGCCGCGCCGTGGGAGTGTGGGAGTCCCGAGCCGCCGCCCCGCGCCCGCCGCAGGCCGACGCTCGTCTCAAGCCAGCGGTCATTAGTTCTGGAACTCCATCTCAAGTTGTGTGGCCGAGGGCGCGGCGGGGCCGGCACACTGCAGTATTTAGCGGCCCAAAGGTCAGCGTCCGGCAGCCGGCGGATGGCGGGCCGCGCCGCTGGGACAGCCCGACTGATGGACCGACCGCCATTCCCGGCATCCAGCCGTCGTAGAACGCAGCCTGGGCCGCAGTGGTGTCTCCAGCTCCGACTGCGGGGTCCCTCTAGCTCTGACCACGGTCCGGTCCCCCCCCCACTCTGACAGCGGTCCCCCAGCTCTATCTGCGGTCCCCACAGCTCTGACCACGGTCCCCCCAGCTCCCACCGGGCCGCGGTCCGGTCCCTTCAGCTCCGACGGCGGTCCACCAACTCTGACAGCGGTTTCCCATGGCTCCGACCGTGGTCCCCCTAGCTCTGAACACGGCCCGGTCCCTCAGCTCCCGGTCTCCCAGCTCCGACCGCGGTCCCTTCAACCCAAATCAAAGCGCAGCTGCTACAGTCCCATACGGTCAAAACCAGTCCCTCCAGCCCCTATACCTCCAGGACTCCGTGTGTATATATCCAGGGATGCGGAGCCGTGGAAATTTCAGACGGCTCCGGCTCCGGCTCCGGCTCCGGGTGAAATGTTATGGCGGCTCCGGCTCCGGCTCCGGCTCCGAGTAAAGTGGTCCGGCTCCGGCGGCTCCGGCTCCGGCGGCTCCGGCTCCGACTCAGTACATCCCCTACGCAATCAATTAAATACGGGTGGAAGAAAAATTGGATTGGTTATACGCGTTACTCTTTGCCATGACCGGCTCACCGCGTCCCCGCGCAAACGCACCTCGGAGAGAACTGGCAGAACAAAGGGCTAGGAAGCGATGGCATTGGAAACGCAGTCGCCGCGAATCGGAGTTCAGTGAACCATCGTAAGCTGACACCCGTCTCGGCTGCATTGGGGGGTGAGGGGTGGGGGGTGTGTGGGATGAGACGGTGCTGGGAGTCGCAGTCCACGGCACTGGTTTGAAAACAATGGCCGTCACCTGATGACTGGTCCTCATGTTCTGGGGATGCAGTAGACGTGGGGGGGGGGGGAGAGCAAACAGGAAGTTGTTTGCGTACTGTGGGATACTGGGGATATTCGGATTTTTTCATTCACTTGATGGCCCATGACGTAAGTACCATATGTTTTACTGCCTTGTACTGTCAAACCGAACTAGGTCAATTATTTTTTTTCCTCTTCAAAAAATAAAAAGGAGCCGGAGTCGCCCCCTTTTTTGGCGGCTCCGGCTCCGGCTCCGGCTCCGGGCTATATTGTTTCACGGCTCCGGCTCCGGCTCCGGCTCCGGGCAAAATATGCCGGCTCCGGCGGCTCCGGCTCCGACTCCGGCTCCGGCTCCGCATCCCTATACACACTACCCCTATTTTAAACCTCTCAAATAGCAGCCTTGTCGCTCCTGTTTCTCGAGCCCGGTCTCTCCTGTTCATATCTCTTCGACTACCAGCCCTAAAGTCACGTCCATTTACCTTATTCGCTTCGGCCGGTCCAAATTACGTAAAGATGAGGCGTCAGCTTCTGCACCATCTGTTTCGAGAAGTGCCGCCCTGTTTTCTTATGTAAGACGGAGCATTCGACGTGCATGGGAACGAGAGGTTCCTGGCAAATCCGTCGAAATTTAATGTTAACTGCATGGGCGGCGCCACCGGGGGGGACGGGGGGGACAGGTCCCCCGCTATCGAAAGTTAGGGGGGTACAGTACCCCCCTATCGGCGAGGCCCGTTCAATAATTGATAATAATGCATTGTAGAGTTATCCGTCGCATTTAATGCATCGTTGGTTAATCAAGGCAGGTTCTGAATAAAGATTGCTGTTGTGATCGGTGCGAGCGACTTTAGCGAGTGTCATTTGAGCGAACGTCATTTGAGCGAAACATTTTCAGCGACTAGCAACTTAGCGAATATCAAATTGAGCGATTATCAAATATAGTGATTATCAATTTAAGCGAAAGCTATGTTTCAGCGACATCTTTTTCGTCGACCACAGTTTGAGCGACTGTCATTTCAGCGAAACACTTCATCGTCCCGTAACGGTGTGTTTTTTTTTTGCGAGCGTACGCACAACGAATGTTTCCGGAACTTTTCATGGTTATCCGGAACTGGATGGCGGATGTCACGTTCAAAGTTCAGATATCAAGCTCCAAATTTAATGCCACATTTCTAAAAAATTCCAGCGGTTCGATTTCATCCCCCCCCCCCCTGCTCTTTGCCAATAATGATGACCAAACGTTTGTTCAGAGATTCATATTGCTTGTGCTGTTTTTCGCGAAATTCCCCCGCTTGAATTTGGATCAGTCCCCATGTTGTAAAATTTGTTCTTGCCCCAAGCAACGTACGAATTTCCAGATATTTGGGTGAGGTCCCTGAAACATAGACTGGATACCCCTGTGCCATCCCTCGAGTTTATTATTGGTCCTTGGCATTCCTTCCATCGTCCTATCTCTCACGTTCCACATTTCCAGATCAAGGTTGCAGAATGAGGCCATATTTTTGTGGTTTCCAAGCAAAAAGCAAATTTTTAATTTGCCGCGCGCAGCTTGAAGCATGACACATAACAGCGGGTATTCCAATGGCAAGAATTCCCGAAAAGTAGCAAATGATGGACTTCCGTCGCGTTCGGTTTCGCTGTAACTGTGTTCGCTCAATTGGTCCCCCATTGACCTCCATATATTCGCTCAATCTGGTTTCGCTGATTCTGGTCTTCGCTTAAGTTGATAATCGCTGTGATTGAATTCGCCGACTTGGCAATCGCTGAAAAAGTCAATCTCTTAAATTGATAATCGCTGAAAAGGCTTCGCTCAAATGTCGTTCGCTGAAATGACGCTCGCTCAGGTGTCGCAGAACCGTATCGCAGGAGGTCCTGGCCATCTGCAAAAGGTGTGGAGCTGTGATGCCTGTAGTTATAAGGTGATCGGCAGGGCCTCGGGGATCGTGCCCCCCCCCCCTTTTTGGGGCGCCAGGCAGGGTTATTACCTCCCCATCCCACTGCCAGACCCCATTGCCGACAAAACCAAGTTTACTGAAATTCCATAGATTTCCGCTACTATATGGATATTTTCCATTCCTAATTAGTCGAATTCAAGCATGGCAGTTCTACCACAGGAACCATTTGAAATCTATGCCATTTAACCCCAGCACTTGTGGGGAGAAGTGTTCGGATAGATCACAGGCAGGACCAAAAAAAGCACGCAGTAGCCCAAGACCTTATAATTGGGTAGCATCGGCTCCCTCTCGTCAAGGGGTTCGATAGCACTCGTTTTTTTTCTGCAAAACTAAGTTCGGTCGGCGGCCGAACGGCTGGGAGTCTAATCGAGCCAACCCCCCACTCCCCTTCTTACGTCAGCGGCTGTGAAAATCGGAATCCTACCCTGGGGCATTTCACCTGCAGAGGTCGCCGGACCTGAGACCCTTTCACTCATTTTTTTTTTCAACGATGCATGCGCTCGTTTTTCCCGCGAAGCTCTTGGTAAGTAAAATCCATCAGAAAGTGTGATCAAATAATGGCTGGTGACCTTCCATGACCTAGCATGACCTTTTGAGTGACCACCGATGACATGACCACTGACGGCTAGCCATTAGCTGCACCCTGCCCGTTGCATATGGATCAGGTGGTGGTGGTGATGTCATGATTCTGAAATTATATTGCAGTTTTGGCGCACTTGTCAGAGCAGAAGACATTCCCACTTTTCCTCCATGACTATATGATGGTGAAGCCATGAAGCTGACCAGACGTAAGATTGAAAATTTGAAAGTACGAAACGTAAGAATGGTTGGCACTGCTACTCATCATACCTAAGTAATTCGCAGCTTGTAGGAAACCAGCTTTGAGTTGGCAAGACTGCAAATTTTGATTTAGAGGCAAGGATGCTTGAAAAGGTGATCGATCTTAGGTGTCCTAGGATAAGTTTGGAAACGGGATGCACCATTCGATGTGTTTTGGGCTTTACCAAGTTTCGCGGCGTTACGTGCCTCGTTTTTTTTTGCATACACGATCAGTATCTACCTACTTTTGGAATTTTCGGTCAGGCAGGTCCCCGTCCCCCCCTATCGAAAACCCGTGGCGCCGCCCCTGGTTAACTGGGATTTGTGGTAGGAGAGAATACATTTCTAGCGCCATAGATTTATCGTAAGCCTGGTAGTTTGGTTATTACATTACAGGACGCTTAGGTATATTTGTATAGTCTTCCGGCAACACTGCACGCTCTGATCTGAACGTGCTTCTCATAGGAGCTTCATGAGTGGTATGCACTATGCAGTGTCTTTTTAGGAAGAAATCTTTGAGCTGCGAGTAGTAGGTATTATTCATTATAATCTACATACAAAGAATGATAAAAATTAAAGATCGAGAGAGTGTATGGGGAGAGTGCAAAGGTCCGTGCAGCAGTCAATCCGTAGACTTATCATGCGATCCTCACCATAAACATGATGAAAATAATAAAAGCACGGCGCATTGAAGTGTCAG